TCATCATCATCAGCAGCAGCAGCAGCAGCAGCAATTCATTAGCCATTTGAACTGATGCTTCGCTGTCATACAAGTCTGGTGACCTACGAAACGATGAAGAGGGAGAGAAGGGAATGTGGAAAACGTAAATGCCCCAAGGAAATATCCAGGATTAAGGTGTCAACGCCTTATCATTAACATACCGCTTTAAACAGTTGGCTATGGTGCAAAGGTTAAGCGGCAACAGCGAGACATCTTCCTTGCTCCAAAATATACTCTAAGATATCGAGCTTCCAGGTGGATTTCACTGCTAAGCGTCCGAATCAGTTTCGTTGAAATATCTGAGTACCGAAGTGCGGTGGATGCATATGCCACGACTAACATCACAAGAATAACAATAAATAACAACGACAAGATAGTGGGGCTAAAGGCAAATTGAATGTAAACAAAATGAAAGCAAGAAGGAAGCGAATTAAACTGGTCATAATGGATCAAAAATTAACAACCAGATGAAAGGAAGCGACTGCAGGAACGGCACTGACTGCGCGACTGCGTCCTATCTGATACGGTCTATAACCAGTAGTGCGGACCATCCCGTGGCCCCCACCCACGAAGACAGCACCACACCAGCGTGACCAAGTCTCTCGATCATTTTCTTCATGCCTCTATCCACGTCATTGACCTCACAGTTTCACGCAAGTCACGGCGATAAATCCATGCCCAGGAAGCCTTCAATTAGCATACAGCGGACATGACCCAACGAACATAAGCGATTAAGATTCAGCAAACACTTGAATGAGGTGCGAGAAGGCCTCTTGCCAAAACCCAACTGGCGAAGCTCAGCATTGCTCACGGGGTGTTCCTACCAGACGTGAGCAATACGCTGCAAGCACTGGTGGTTAAACACTCAATCGTTTAATGTCATCGTCGCCTACTGGCCAGGTCTCTGATTCATACAGCCATACCCGTCTAACCGCAGCTATACACCCGACCTTCCACTGATAGGCTGACATACCATCGTCTCCATAGGTGGTAGAGTTTCTGGAAAGGCACAGTGACTTTGCGGATACGCGAAGTAACTTCTGAAGTGACGTGACCATCAGAGGTGACACAGCTAACGAGGTAAGTGAACTGATCCACCACTTCCAGTGACTGTTCGGTGCTAGCTGGAACTGGAAGTGTGTCGGTAAAGGCGTGCAGCAGTACTCCACGCTTTGAAGGTGTTAAGCACATGCCGAAGAGTGCCGCACTACGCATCAGTCTATCCAACAGTGCTCGTATAGCTACTGCGTCGAAGGAAAGAAGAGCCATGTCGTCCACATGTTCCAAGTTTGTCAGTCGGTCGCTCGGCAGAACTTCCACTCCAGAATAGCTGGAAAGAACCGAGGCATTCATGATCATTTCGATCATGAAGTTGAAGAGAAAATAAGATATGGGACAACACCAGCGAACCCCAGGAGACAATTTTCCGCAGGTCCTTACACTGCCTCGGGAATCGCGGTAGAGACTTAAGAATAGAAAGGAATTTAGCCGGCACGCTCTCCATGGATAGACAGTGCTACAAGCCGGCGCGGTCAACAGAGTCGAAGGCAACTTTCAAGTTAAGAAAAACCACCATAGTCGTCTGTATCGGTGACACTGCTCTAAAACTTGGCGAAGAGTGGCCGATAGAACCATGACCAGGGCGGAAGCCAGCCAGGATTTCAGGGAATCGGTTCTCACGATGAGCAGTAAGTCGTAGAAGAATGATACCCGTGAGGAGTTTGGATGCAATGAAAACAAAGCTGATGCTTCGAAGATTTTTGCAAAGTACACTGACCGTTCTTGAGGATGGGCATGACAGTTGACAGTCACCAAGCTTGAAGATACCTCTGCGCTGTTCCAAACCGTGTTACATAGAGTAGCGAGTCAAGTTATAAGCAGCCACCACCCCGCAAATAACTCAGCTGCAGACACATTGTAAACAGACAATTCGACTATGAGACGGCAGCAGACGTGCCACTGGTGTCGACTGCAAGCAACGGCCTGCAAAGTCCCGGGTGAAGCACAAGTCGAGTCACGTGGACTCCAGCCCGGAAGGCGAAACGGTCCCACGGCACCCAGTTTGGTCGTCAGTGACTTCATTTCCCGCTGCCAAGTCAACTTCTGTCCACCTCGACCCTTGCGCCACCCTACACCTGGCAGACTAAACAAGGCCCTCCTAGGTAAGCGGTGACCAGGTATAAGTAGCATGTGCCCGAGCCAACGCAACTTATTCAGTGTTAACTATTGCTCTAGGGAGCTAGCATGACTATCACTACCTGGTACTCGCCTACGCACATTATCGCTGGGGACATGCTGGTGCCATCCGACACCAGCAATGCTTCGCAGACAACGAGGATCAAAGACTTGAAGGCACCTCAGATCTTCAGACCGAAGGGGCCAAGTCACACTAGCACATAGCAGAACGGCCCTCACTGTGGCCTTGTAAACACGACCTTTCAGACGGAGGGAAACTCCCTTCTGTCGCCAAAAATGCACCAGGTTCAAGAAGGCAGCTCTGGCGTTTAAAATGCGTGAGGTCACGTCAGTTTGTATGCGCCCATCATTGCTGATGCAGCTGCCAAGATAAGTGAAATGATCAACCACCTCGAGTTCCTCGTTAGCAAGCGTCAAGGGGTCATCAAGTGGCTGGTGGTCCTGCAGCAACACTTTGCACTTTGAAGGTGCGAAGTGCATACCAAATAATGGGACCACTCTGGACAGGCTATTCAGGGTTGATTGTGCCACCACAAAATCGTCGAAAAGCAAGACGATATCGTCCGCGGGTCAGCAGCACGAAAACGATTGAGGGCTGTGATCGCGTTTCTGACCTCAGTCTCCGATAAAGCCTTTAAACTGGCTATCCATGGCTCAATCTGCATCACCTGAGTAGGAAGAGATCGTGAAGCATGGGGCGAACTGAGCTGATCTTGAAAGTGCTCCGACCAACGAGTCATACGGCGCTCCTTATTGTGAATCATGGCAACCACGAAGTCCGGTTGTCTCACTGACACCTGGCTTAATGCGACCAGAGGTGCGAATCAGCTGGAAGATCTTGCGGTAATTGCCTACTGCTCCTGCCTTATCCATTTCTTGAGCCCTACTGGTCCACCAGATTACCTTGCCAGTGTGCGTGCCCGGCTTTAGTTCGCATTTAATGGTCCGTCTGTTAACATTGTGCTCATAGCCAGGCGGGAGTTTTCTTCTGGATTCTAACAGACTTACCGACCTCTCCAATATACATTGACTGATGCGGTGGCGACTGATAGTGCCACAAGCGGAAGCCCCTGCATGGTGCACGGCGGACGAGCTCCTATTCTAACGAACAGCAGTGTCATTAGGAGAAAACAGCGAAACTTCGGTATGCAGGGCATCCTGGTACCTTGCGTGGCCGAGGGCCGAGATAACTTTTTAGTTGCCAATCGAGGGAGATGCTTGGGTACGCCACCAGGTAAAGTTCATGAAAAAAACAGTGTACTAAGGCATGATCAGAGTTGACGCAAGTACTCCAGAAAGAGCGACAATCCGCGATGGAACCGCCTGTAACTTGTGGCAATGAAATGTATTTGAGTCCATCGCTGGACAGTTATAGGTGGACAAGAGGTGGCACGTCGGCACCCATTGTCTAAAAACGGTGCAACCAATAAACAGCTGGTGCTCGGCAAACAGTTGAAACAGACGCTCGCCATTGCCTGTACGTTAAGCCCACAATTACCATCTAGTTATGAGGACCCCAGGAGACCTAAGTGTGAATTCATATCTTATGCAAGAACAATGAAATCTGAACTGGTAAGACTGCGTAATAACGTGTTGAAGGCACCCTTGGTAGCAACAGAGCTGCGTTCATTAGGAGCATAGGCGGAAACCACAAGCAGCGACTAATGCTACTCTATGAGTGAATCATAGGTGATGTCAAACGAGTTGCAGAGAAACGGCTGCTCACTGGAATCCAATCAACCAATGATGACTCGTCTTTGGAGCTGAGAACGATGTCTACCCCCGCTTGACTCTCCGTCAGCGTCTCCCGAGGCGTGCAACCAATAGAAAGAGGAGAATCCGGGTGCAGTTAATTCAACAACACCGTGAGGGTCCTTGATCCTAGTTTCCGATACGGAACACATGCCAACACCCAATGTGACCAATGTGCGTGCGAGTGCGGCCTGTTGGCCGATTTGTCTTATAGTGCGAACATGGAACGCAGCCAGAGAAACAGGACAGTGTGGCTTTATAAGGAGTTGTTGGCGATTGGTGTCCGGTGAGTGGTGAGGGAAGGTAGCTGTAGATAGTTCGACGCCAGTGGCATTACGAATGAGGACCAGAAGACTGAGTTTGTCGGATTTCTAACCACTCACGAATCTGGTAGGAGTAGCCAGTAAGGCGCCCGGAGGCACCACACGGTATAGCTCAACGGGTCGAAGAGGTACGCAAACCGTCGAATAACATTACGGTGTAGTCACGTTACGACAGTCACTGATATGCATTTTTCCACATCCGATATCCAACCATTTGTGAATGCGCATTGTTGGCAAAGTATAGGCACTTCGACGGTGAACATTCTGGATCGTTTAGGGTCACTATGCTTGTGTGTGAGGAAAGCATGACTAGATTTAGTTACTCGATTGTGGCCTGAGAGCCGAAAGGTAAAATATCCAGCTACCTTGACAAGTACTGCCAATACAAGAATAAAAAGATGGGAGGATAAAGCACAAGAAGCGCTAAGCGCTTTGCGGAATAGCCGCTAGCAAAAGAGTAAGGGTAATGACTCACGTTAACTGATGGACTGCACTGATTTCGGAAGACCATACGTAACAAACCGCCCACAGATTATCCGCTTAACTTCAATGTCGTCGATTGCCCACTACTGCTCAACCAAACACGGAGCAGCGTCAGCAGATAGCACGCCGGTATAGTCCGTCAACAAAGTGCGTACAAATAGGGGTGCAACTTGTTTCACAAATGCTACCGAAGACTGTTTATAATGGTCGACATGTGAGACTTACTTATTGTCGCTCACGGGGATTTCGATTTCCAGACTCGAGCCCAAAGCTGCAGTTGGGTTTGGCAGGATCTTCCAGTGAACCAGTGTGTTGCCAACCTTGACAGTTTGGATATCGAGACCATTGACGTCAAGAATCTGGATAGAACAACGTGTCAGTCGAAAATGTCAGATTCTCGTAATTTACATACAGTTAAACGTCTCACCAAATAGTTACGCACTTAGCTGGCATTAGATGATGAGGACATGTGACTCCACAACAGTTCTCGGTGGTCCAATTACCAAGGAACTAATAAGCAAAAAATAAGAACAACTCAAGACAAGCGTACAGGCGGATAGTGAGCAACAAAAGACTTGCTGAAACAAAGAAACAAACCAGAGCTTATTACTGCCATTCATAAATTGGTGTAACCATGTATACGAAAGCGGAAAAATAATCGAAGGTTGAAAAACCACAGTCAATCTTTCACTATGTTTCCAAAACTAACCAAACTGATCGGCTACCTCGACTGACTAAGTGTTGCTAGAAAAACCCGGTGGTGCGCTCATCCAATTCTGCAGCGGCAGTTAGCACTATGTATGGGAGACATGTCACCACCATATCGCTTTGTGTCAGCCTATTCAGAAGCGCAACAGATCGGTACACCGTACCGACGCTTCGCTACCTCCGAAAGGCGATGAACACGTTTGGCTGGATACACTTGTTGATATGGCTGGGAGCCGACCTCAGTGGCGTTCGTGCTGTGAGTTTCTTCGTTCCACCCCATCCGTTTTAGCCTCGCCCTCCAACCACGATCTCATTATTTAGTATTTTATAATTTTGCATAGGAAATTACTTTTTTGGTGTATAGTAGGCAGCTGGTAGCTTACCGGAACGATGCCCATCCGTTACCGGTAGCTCAGCTGGCTTTCACCTGTTACATTTTATTCCTTTTTTCTTTTATGTATTGCGACACAGTAGTTGAGGTGTTTCTCACCTCTAGCTAACGTGTATAGTGTGTGTGCTTCGCTACCAAAGAACTATCACCAGTCGTAAGCGGGCTAGGGATACTGCTGGTGATTTGAAAAGCAAAGCTGGAGTACCGTGTACTGATGAGCTTCATCAAATGGGCCGCCAACACTGTGTAATCTCCCGCAATGATAACGGTGAGCGGTTGCCACACCGGTGTGAAGATACTCATCTCTTTTTGAGGCAGTAATTTCCGACACAGCACCCACAAAAGGGTGACAAGGCGTATACTTGCCTCAAACCAGCCATAAACGCAAATGGACCATATCGGGATTAGTTGCCGCTGGAGAGGATGGTCCAAATCTACCGCTCGACTTGGAGCACGAGCGTGGACTCTGACCACGCACTCGTTTGTGCCGATCTTGCAGGTCGCTTCGGTGGGCACATGTGACGACGCTGTGAAGGCATAGATATTTGCCAACTGGCGAAGCCAGTCGTTCTGAATATCTATCAAACTACACTGGCATCCGAGCCGAGTAAACGCTATCTGAAAACACGGCAGAGGATCCCTGGTCGCATATCTACCTGACGTCAATATAAGCAGGCACGTCCTCATTTGGCAAATCAAGTTGCCAACCTGGACATTGGGTGTCAATGCAGTTTCTGGAACTTCTTGATAGTCGCCGAGTTGTTCCAACTGCAAGCGAATACAATGAGAATTGTAAAGCATTCAGGGCGAAACCACGTGCTAGCCTGAAGAGAGACCGCGAAGCGTGGTCGTATCATCGTGTCTAGGAGATGAAAACAGCCACTGCCCTTGGTAACCATCGGAAGTTATTCCGTTTGATACGAGAAACGGACAGCAGGAAACTTGGTATTAGCGAGACCATATGCGCTGTGGACAGCTGCTCAATGGTTTGTCGAAACGTTTGGAGAGTTGGGCCGAACACTATAAGAAGCAGATTAATTAGTCAGTTGTCAGTTTCTCGATCGGCCAATGAGCGCCCTGCTCTCTGGGCCGTCACCTTGGATCCGCATTCACGCGCATAAATCAGAAGTGAGACCGAACGGCTGAAATTGAACAAGGCAGCAGGAGCAGATGGAGTTTATTCAGCCCTCAGCAGATTCGGAGGTCCTACTCTTATGAACGACTTGTATAATTTACTAGTGAATCTATGGGAGCAGACTATCCCAACAGACTGGAGCCGCTCCGTCGTAGTCCTAATTTCCCAAGGATGCTCCCATTCGGAATCCGGCAATCATAGAGGAATCAGTCTGGCCTCAGTCTGGCTTATAACATACTTGCCTCCGCCGTACTGCATAGACTGAATGGCACTCGCGAGAGCCAGATTTGCAGGGAGGAAGCGGAGTTTAGTCGAAATTGAGGCTACAGCGAACATGGAGATCAGGTAGAACTCGCCCAGAAATTTAAGTATTTGGGCAGCTATACCAGTCCGTGTGTGATCGAAGATGAGATCAAGAACCGCACAGCAAAAGTTCGAGGCGATTTAGTCGATCTCTGCCCCTGTGGCTCCAGCACGACAACATTCGCGTCATGAAGCACGTTCGGCGTCTCGTATTCAGTGCACGAAGGCGAGTGAGACGCCCAGCATCGATATATCACACACCAGGCTCCGATGGCTAGGTCACGTGTTGCGCATGGCAACCCACCGACTCCCACGACGTGCTTTGTTTGCGCGCGGGGGGGTATGAATAAAGGAAGAGGATGAAAGGCCAAGCAATAACCTGGAGAATAGGAATGAAAATCCACACTTCGAAGGTCATGTCGGTTAGTGTCTCCCGACTGCCGGGCTGGAATCTGAAACGATGAATCCGTCTGGTTGAATACACTAATTAAAATGACGAAAAACCGACCGTAATGGCGTGTGTGCTGTGGGTGGCTTTGTCCCTCCCCTCTCAATGAGCTTTCCCATCCAACAACGAACTCATGGCCAATACATACGACGTTGAACGTTATATTAGTGTTTTTAGTTTTATAGCCAGTAATGTTTAATAGTTTAGCTGTTTAATATTGAGTTACATTAGCTGAGGTGCATTTCTCACTCTCGGCTCATGTGTATTGATGATGATGATGATGATGATGATGATGATGATGATGATGATGATGGTGATGATGATGACGATGATGATGATGATGATGATGATGACGACGACGACGACGACGACGATGATGATGATGATGATGACGATGATGATGATGATGATGATGATGATGATGATGATGATGATGATGATGATGATGATGATGATGATGATTGATATTGTGAGTTTGCCTGTAGCTGTGCAGATTTGAACAACTGGATCCACTGCACTTCGGTGCCCGGATCATAGTTGTTCAACTCAAATGAACCATGTTATTTGGTGCTGCTCAAGCAAAGGTCAAAGTGTAGACATGTGGGCAACACGGTGTCAATAGGGGGCAGAACCGCATAAGTGATCCTCATCCCGATGTACAGTGGTGTATTGTTCATATACCGCAAATGTGCGGGAACTAACAGTTCGACAGCCATCACAGAACTTTAGATATTTTCTAGAGGTAAAAGTGATAGGCGACAGTCATTGATTTGAAAGAATCGACGAAATGGTGTTAAAGTGAGCAGCAACACCAATTACCAGGAAGATATTATTATTAGTAGTAGTAGCAGTAGTAGTAGTAGTAGTATTATTGTTATCCTCAACATCATCATCGAGAACAGCAGTGTACCAGCCAGTTGAACTGATGCTTCGCTACTGTAGTCACAGAGACCTAGGGAACGAAGTATAAGGGAAGACGAAGAAGTGGGAGCTTAATGCACTAAACAAACATTCAGGGTCCAGGCGTCTACACCTTGTCAACAACATAGCGTCACAAACAGCTGGCGATCATGAAAGGATAAGGCGGCATCAGCGAGACAGCTTCATTGTGGCTTTCAATGTCAAACGTCATAAGCAACCATTATCCCGCAGATAACAGCACGAAACCCACTTTAAACATGCGGTCCCAGTAGGTCGCAGAGGATGCACCACTGGTACCGACTGAGAGATAAATCCTGCGAAGTTTTGAGCCAACCACAAGGTGGGTCACGTGGACACCGGTCTGGGAGACGAGACTGACCAACGGCAACATTGGTCGTCAGTGAGGTCATTTCCTGCTGTCAAGTTGACTTCTGCTTGACATGGGACAGAGACGAATTCTCTTTCCAATCCAAGGAGACGCTTTGCACGCATCCCGGTAAAGTTCATGGAAAGAAGACGGTACCAAATCATGATCACAGTCCACGTAAGTTCTCAAAAACTAGCGACAATCCAGTATGGAGCCACGCCACTGAAACTTATAGCAATATGATTTATTTTGGTCCATTGCTGGCCAGCTACAGGGGTACGCCAAATGGCACTTCAGCGCCCACTGTGTCAAAGTGTTGCCACTAAGGAATAGCCGGTGCTCCGCACACAGCTGTAACATACACTCACCATTGTGCGTCCGTTCGGATACAAGTCCATACTCACCATCTAAGTGAGCTTCTGAAGAGCTCGAGCGAACTACGTGTGCATCCATATCCTTTGCAAGTACTATGATATCTGAACTGGCAGCACTGCATAGTAGCGTGTTCAGTATGTGGTATAATGTGTCCTTGGCAGCATCAGAACTACAGGATACACTTGCTGATATGACTAGGAGCCGACCTCAATGGCGTTTGGGTTATGAGTCTCTTTATCCCCCCCCCTCCTGCTTAGCCACCCCTCCAACCACGAGCTCCTTCGTTAGACCTAAGATACAGCACAATATCCGGCTGTTAGCTCTCCGGAAGGATGTCCATCCGTTATTGGTGACAGCTGGTGTGCCTCCTGAATGTTTTTTTCATTCGCGTTGCGACACAATAGCCGTGTTTTCTACCTGCAGCTTGAGTGTTTAATGGATGAATGAATGAATGAATGAATGAATGAATGAACCAGAACTGCAGTCGGTGGGATCATAAGCGGAAACCACAAACAACTAGCGTCTAATGCTTCTCCATGAAACAACCTTCGTTGATGTCGTCAGACGGACTGTACACAAACGGTGGTTCACGGGAATCTAAGCAAATAACGATGACTCATCCTTGGAGCTGAGAACGATGTGCACCCCAGCTTGCTTCTAGTGCCGCATCAGCGTTTCTAGATGTGTGCAACCATTAGAAAGAGGACAAGTCGGATGTAGTTAATTCGAAAACACCGTGGGGGGCATTGATCCTAGTTTACGACACGTAACAAACGTCAATATCCAGTGTGTCCAACGCGCGCGCAAGTGTAACCTGTTGATCGACTTGTCTTATAGTGCAAAGGTAGAACACCGCGAAGGAAACAGGACAGTGTGACCTTGTAAGGAGTTGTTGGCGATTGGTGTCCGGTGAGTGGTGCGGGAAGGTAGCTGCAGATGGCATGACTCCAGTCACACTGCGGCTGCTATCAATTAAAGTGGGAATTATGGAAGGGAAGGTAATAATGGAGATTGGGAGGGGAGTAATAGAAACAGGTAGAAAGGAAAGAAGGGAGGCACCAGCAGTAGCATATTTTCGCTTATCTGCCCTGCTGTATGCAGCAGATAAGGCGAACCCTGATAAGCTGCGTGATGGCGGATGCAAGATGCGGTCGCAAACGGAAGAAATAGTTATGGTTGTACGTGGGGTGAGATACTGCCAGGGCGCTCAGACCTAGAGAGGAGGACGATTAAGGTCCTCAACCAAAGCCTTTGGCTCAAAAGCCTGTCCACAAGACAGCGGGGAAGTAGCAGTATTTATTTTGACAGAAATGGACTCCATTACATTTCAGACCCCCAACTTGGAGAGCCAGGAGACGGATTTTATCGATCTCTAATTATTAACCAACGTGGTAGGAGTAGCGATCAGGAGGCTCGATGGCTCCATCTAGTATGACTCAATAGATCGAAGAGATACACGAACCGTCGCACCAAGACAATGTCCAATTTCGTTGCGATGTGAAAGTTACCACCACTTTCAGCAACAATGTGGGAAGTGATTAGTTGGTGACGTGCATAGCGGTCGAGCAAAAGATGAACAACTGTCAACATAGTCGTTGGGGGGCGCCAGTTCAGTTCAGGTCGGTTGAACAACTATAACCCGGGGACCGAAGTGCGATGGATTCAGAGACCCCAACTCACGTCGCCAAAATTACAATAAATAATAAATGCAAGAAAGCGAGGTCAAATGCGAATGGGGTACACGGAAGATGGAATCAGGACAGAGGTTGAGAACTAATCGGGATGGAAGGAAGATTGACAGTTAGATGCAAAAAATCGAGTGCGGAACACCATTGACTGCGCAACTGCGTCACGTCTGATAGGATCTACAACAATTGGTGCGGACCACCCCGGAGTCACGATACATGAAGGCATCAGTAGTAAACCGGTACGCAGTGCCCATGCATCGTTGCCGCGCAACCACCATCAGTGGTGTATGGGTTACGGACACTACGAGTCACCCGGTCCTCTACGTAGGATGGAACCCACGTCCTCGGATTACAAGGCAGGTTGGTGATCATATAGGTTACGATACGCACCGGCCTGACCAAGTATCTCGGTCAATTTCCTCATGTCCGTATGCCACGTCATCGACTGACCACCTTGCGGTTTTGACCAGCTTTGCACTTGGTCTGAGGACGTCGCCACTCGCCTCTTCTTTTCCATCGTCAGACCAATGGTAGAGTACGGCTCGCCTGCATACTGTCCGATCACTCGCGGCGAAGCGCAAAAGATCGAACGAGTACAACACATCGCAACCAAGTTGATCCCCAGCTTGAGAGGCTTATCGTATGAAAACCGGTGCATGAAACTTGGGCTCTACACCTTGTCGTATCGCCGCGTTCGAGTGGATCTTATCATGAACTACCGTATTTTACATCTCGGTCATTTCCCCATGCTAAGGTCGTTACTCCACTTGCGAGTACCATGCACCACACGTGGGCACAGGTACAAACTCGTGGTGCCTGATCTGAAGAAAATCCCACACCCCCTGTGTTTCGAGCGGAGGGTTGTGCACGCCTGGAACAGTCTGCTAGAACACGTCGTCGAGGCCGAATCTGTGCAGAAATTCAAATCTTTGTTGGATTTACACTTCGCTAACATACGTTTCAGAGAACGGTTGCCACTTGACAACGATATCACAGACTTGTGACTCACTGTGTAAACAAGCATTTTGTGTGCTACAGAAGGAGTTGCTGAACCATCTCAGGATAACCACCGGACGTGTTTATTTTTTTAAAATGTTTTTTGATTATCACCCGATGGAGTTGTACAGAATTATTTTCTACTTGCTCCAAAATACAGTATTCAGTATTCAGTATTTGCACAGCTACGGCGTACAATGCATGCCGTTGAAGTCGGTCAACGGGTATGAGGAAGACGACAGTCAACGTAAACGGTCAAAATTCAGCAAATACTAGACTGAGACACCAGGTTTCCGGCCATAAACCGACAGACTACCTTCGGCATTGTTCACCCGGTGTGCCCACCAGATGTGAACAATACTCAGCAAGCACCAGTAGTCAAACATAGCTAAGCGATTAATGGAGAGCGTCACTAGTACATGGCAGCTTAAGTCTTTCTACTAACTGAGGAAAAGGGTAGTAGGTTAGAAAATGATCCGAGGTGCGCACGATAATGATGAGGCCTAGCAGTACAATGGCATCTAGAGCTTTTCTTAACGTATGGCGGCCATCTGAGTGGGGACAGCATAAACGACTTTACTTAAGAACCACTGTCAAATAAACGAGTCACCCCGTTGATAGAGTGAAAAGTGATTATCCACTTTGAAAATGGTGAAAATAATTGCTTACTAGCGGCGCACCAGCTTTCAGGTGCAACTTGGTCACGGTCAGCGATGCAGAGCCTCTGATTACCGATTCGGTGAAATCAACCGTCCAGTCAAATTTGTAGTGTTCGGTGCGATACAAACGGGCATCAGTAGATGAAGAAGGATCACGAAACGTCATAGTGTTTACCGACTGGAGCTGAAGCAAAATGTAGAACAATGAACTATAAGACTGGTGTAAAGCATCAGTGAGTACAAGTTTATGGAAAATATATGAGAAGTGCTAAGACACAGCGTGAAGTAATAATCGAATTCGTCCTGGATGCAAAAAAGCGATCACTGCGACGAGGGTTCCGAGGAAAACCGTTATTAAGATCGAAACTTCTTGACAACCGCTCGCAATATGGTTGTCCACCACTTAACATCATTCAATGAATAGGCAAATGACTGATACCTGCACAAAGCAAACTTCTATTAAGCCAATGGTTTGGGCAACAGCCTACCGAGCTGAAGATAGAGCTAGGAGAGCTTTCTCTCAGTGGGCAGTAAAAGAGCAACATGAGTTTATGAAACGTAGTCACCAATATGCTATATTAATAATTGTAATTGTACGTCCTCCTAGGCTAATCAGTAAAAAATCGCCACCGACTGGTAACGTGGATTTCAAGTGAGACCCCCTAATCCACTACGTCACAGGGTAACTGGCGAAAAAGTGGCGGCGAATAACATGACTTTTGCGCGCTTAAAAAGTAGAGAGACGATCAAGAAGGAAGACTGTCAATATTCGAATAATGAGGTAAAAGCTATAGCTGTAACGGATTTTTCACTTGACCTTGACCTTGTTAGTTCAGCGCTCGTGAATCCGAGGGAACGAGTAGACGCTCCCATGATTTTTCTTGGGACCGGAAGATTGAGCGCTATGTAGCTGCAAAATGATATCTGATCTGAAGCTAGAGCGAGCGGTTACTTCGGAATCACGTGCTTTAAGTGTTGTCATCAAGGACTTAGTCAATTTAATACCAGTACTCTATCTCGCTCCACAAGCGTCAAGTACCAGATACTGAAGTTTCATGTACGGACAGCAACTTTGCTTAGTTAAGAGAAGTGACTATTAGTAGTATCGCGACAAGCACTGCTTCCGAAATGAGTTTGGGGTACTTACTTCCAACCCACGTTAATGATGACATTGTAGGGTCCCAAAAGACAAGTACCATCTTTCAAGTAAAAGTTCACTGCTGACCAATTGCTCAGCACTGCGCAGATGGCCTGACATAGCTAACTCTAACAAATGAGTGGGAATTAGTTCACTTACTTCACGTGACTGCCACAGCAGGAGCTGCTAGGGGAGGAAACGTGGGCATTAACTGGTTGGCCAGGGTGCGATCCTGGTGCTCAGTTTTAGATCCATCAATAACTCTGAACCCTTCAGCAATTTCTGACTCAAAGATCCACTCAAGATGGAGCATTCAGGGATTCTCCTATGGTTCCAGTCCCACGCGAAGTTGAACTAATACCACTAAGTCCCTTAATGATCTTAAACCACTCAATCAAATCGCCTCTCAACCTACGCCGTTCTAAGTAAAATAATCCCAAGCTAATTAGACGATCTTCGTACGACTTCACTAGTTGGTTTTCGATATCCTGGTCGCAAGTTTTTGAATCTTTTCTATACACATGACGCCATTTCGGAGGTAAGGTGCCCAGGCCTAAACTCAATACTCCAGATGTGGCCTAACCACTACTTTATATAGCGACAAGAATAATTTTGCTTTGGTGTTATTCAGCGCCCTCCTAAGACGAAACAACTCTTGTCGCGTTCTATTGGAAGCATGTCGACACTGTGCCGAAGGTTTAAAATTGTTCACTATGACGATACCTAGATCGTGGGCTTCATCAGTACACTGCAATGATAGAGATCCCGCAGGAGACAGCATTGCAATTCCGCTAGCACTATTAGTCAATAGATGACATTTATTGGAATTCAGAGGTAGATTTCATTGGCTCGACCAATTAACCACAGTGACGATGGCCTTAGCAAATGTCACTCGGTTTCCCCTACTAACTAGCTTTAAGTCATCTGCGAAGATATTACAGGGATCCTTGAGAAGAGGAGCCAGGTCATTTGTAAACATAAGAAACAAGAAACTGCCGGCTGACCACCCAAGAATCCACCAACTGGAGACCTATTACATTAGCCGCTACCCTGGTTCTGAGGTAATTTCTTCGCCACTTTTAGCTTCAGTCTATCCGCTAGCAGGTCTGGTTGAACGCTAACATCAGAACTCTTCGGCTATCTTTATTAAGCTGGAAAAATTGTGGCCGTATGAAACAAGGAAAAGTAACAAAAGCAATATTTCCGTCAAAAGTGGTATCAACCATCTCCATACACCCGATATAGCTGCAAGACCACCCTTAGACCAATGACGCTAAAACGCGGAACGTCGAATTCGCGGGTTATCAAAACCTAGGGTAAGGGAGAAAAGAAGAATTAAGTAGTTCGAAGATAATTACGTGTTGTTATTCCTCCACATCCAAACAACTTAATGCAAACATTTTGCTAAAACTGCTTAAGAATGTTGATCTATTTTTGTAGTTAGTGCTAGTTTATGTGTTCCTCTATATTGGGGTGCGTTATTTATACCAAAATAAGAAGTTAACAAAATGATAGTGTAAAAAAAGATAAACAACAGTAACTACTATGTGAATACATTAAAAATAGTGCAATCTTATGGTATTTGGATGGACCACAAAAAGCCCGTCATGAAGCAAATTTTCGGTACCCGCGAGTCCGATCCTACCCTTGCACTCTTAAATCCTGTGTCGAATATGGGTGCTATATGAAGGTCGCAGATTGGAACTACCCTGAGTTGTTTAAAAAAGACATTTTAGCCAATTGTGCATACAAATTGTTTAACCCAGTATTTTTAAAAGGATAAGCTGTTTTTCAAGATTGCTTTCAAATAGAACCAGTATGAATGTATGGATTGTTAAAATTTGATCGGCCTGAATGCGAAAGCTATTCTGATATAAAGGGTAGGATCGTGTCAAAAGCAACCGGTTAATCCCTTAAGGCTAGTGCCTCATATGTTTGCTCTATTTATGAAGTTTTTTGGATCAATGTATATCCATCAACTTCCGCCCTACTCGATGATTTAGCATTTCAAACTATAGATAAACACCCTTTCAACATTAATTGTTTATAAAGCTTATGTTTTATCTGGTCCGGACGTTACCTTGCGTTGAGCTCTAAAGTACGATCATTGTACTTCGCTAGGCATCCATTGATTCTTCCTCTTTTTGCCTTTCACTTTTGTTCGCGGTAGTCTTGTGTGCAGACATCCGAACAAACACCAGCTTGATACGTGCCTGCGTTTTCAGCTAAGTTGCCACTTATCTGTATGCTATAAATCACCGATAAGCTGTCACTTATTGGCAACCACTGGAAGCAACCGTCAACTGCATCCTTTACCCGGGCCTATTTCCCCAAAAATGTTTATCCAGGCTTTCTCTCTTCTCTGGCCTCATCTCACGGTAGTCGCAGCTGTAGAACATACCACTGACAGGTCCTTGACCGTTTGTGCTCCCAGCAGTTGACCTAATAATCTAGCTATGCGCATTTAGTCACCCACGAGAAAATCGCTTTCCAGTGCAGCTTCCCAAGTCCATTGCGAACCACCTACAAGCCGAGCACCAGAGCCCTCGGAATCCACGTATGGCTCAACCGAGTGTTCTACACCTAGCTACATGCTATTTCTTGCTTTTTGTGTATTTTGTTTACTATTTTTACACAGAAGCCGGAAACTCTAGCGGCCTACCGGGAATACAAATTAAAGGATTTATACTGTGCTATATAAGTAAAGCTAGTAATTCAGTTCAGTTCAGTTCAGATGGGGAATGGAACGATAGGAAAATCCCGTGAGTGTTCCATCTTGAGTGGATCGTTGAGCCAGGAATTGATGAAGTGCTCAGTTATTGATGGATCTAAAACGGAAACACCCGTATCGCACCCTGGCCAACCAGTTAATGCCCACGTTTCCTGCCCTAGCAGTCCCTGCTGTGGCAGTCACGTGAAGTAAGCAAAGGATAGGAAGAGAAGTCGAAGGTACAGGATAGGGAAGTGCACTTTAATAAGAAAATAATACCAATACGTGAAGAAAAGTAGAGAAAAGAAAATCGAAGTACGAAGATGTGAGTTACTCAGGAAAATGGAAAGGTTTCGTGTTGCCACCCAAGAGCGTCAAGTTGCCGCTCAAACCCCTTAACCGTAGATTCCCTGATAACACTTTCCGGAAGCATGTTCCAGCGGTCGATAACTCGGCGTGACAGCCGGATTTCCGCCCTAATCCGATCGGACCGCGGTTTGTCCAGCTTCAACGAATGACCGCGTTGAACAGACAATCTAGCGGGACTGAATAGCCAAGACAAATCTGGACCAACCTTCCCAGTCAAGATACGGTAGGTTAGGATTAGGTCTCCTCTAAGCCTTCGGTAGTGCATTGAATGCATT